TTACGCTCCAAAAAATAGATGCCAATGGGCGTGAATTTGACCCCCCGACGTTTGTCGAGAATATTTTCTGCACGATATGGTACGGTCCCAGCAAAATTTGGGAGTAAGTAAGTGAAAAGCCGAACTATTCGGCGTAAAATTATATATACCTTGTAAGGTCATTGGCCTATATGAAGTCAAAATAAGCCCATGACTGCAGGGAAGAAAATTACAATGGAATTGTTCAATCTATTACAACAACAGAGTGTCGGACAAGGTCATGCAGCTTCAAGACTGTTCCTTGCTCAATTAGACCATTGAAATTATAATCATGACCTACTCCAGTGACCTTGGCTTCGGTATGAGGGTCAGATCAAGATTAACCAAATTTTGTGCGGAGGGTCTTACCTTCCCCTGCAAAATGAGGTTTACATTTAATACTGTGCGATTTTGCCGGAGTGCCGTTTAAATTCGGAGGAGAACTGACACATTCACATAATTTTTGAACTCATAGGGAGTCAAAGTGAGCCCCCACACTTTGTCCCCACCCCAACCCCTAAGTATGGTAGGACAAAGGCAATAAACACGTTTAGCTTTGAAAGATATTCTGCTGGACTGACTCCTTTCAAGTTCCTTACATCGCGATCCCTTTCACACTAAAAAGGTCGCCAAGCCTCGCCCCCGCCTTTGTAACGTCCGACCTGGCTGCCGTATAAGCCGTGGTTCAACACAAATTGCTCCCCGTTATTTTGGACAGTGCCGTTTCGCGGACAATTTAAAACGACTGGAGCATATGGCATTCTTTTTTTTTTAGTTCGGAGACATCTGATTATTAGGCCTAATAAATGTTTGGATAGCTGTAGGTAGCTGGGGATGTTCGCATCGGGAAGTATCGGAAATTCGCATCGGAAAGAAAAGTAGAAGAAAGTTCGCACGCCGTATTTGCCAGAAAAAATATGGAGCTCAACGAACGCTTTCGAAGAGAAAACAAAAACCTATGGTGAATGGTATACACCATGAAACGCACATCGCGTCAGCTGCCGCTTGAATTCTGCGGCTGCTGCAGAACACCGATGCCCAGCTGAGCCCCTGCCCCGACAGGGACAGGCCCAGACCGCCAACACATGACCTCATCGGCGCCAGGTCTGCAAACAGTGTCACCCCAGGGACAGTCCCGGCCGGGGAGGGGCGGCACATGACATGGTCCGGCCCCCAGACTGTTTATGGCGACTGTCCAGTGACTTAGCGCTGTAATGGGAGCGCTCGTTGTCGGCGACATCGAGTGCAACTTTGGCATCGCTCCAGCAACTTGCAGGCCATTTCGATAGACTCGGGCCTCGCTCCCGTTTATCACAGATTCCGGGCGTTCCAGACCGGGGCCAAATTTGGTCTCCGCGGTATAATGTTAGTGTATATCTAAAGGGGTGCCTTTCTTTAGCATACCAACACTGTCATATTGTCATATCAACACTGTCATATGTCATACACACTGTCATATTCTCCTATGACTATGAATACTGGTAGACTTTTCATAACATATGATGCCATGTTTTCATTGCTCTAAACTTCAAAGGAAAGTTTTACATTATGCTCACCTGTACATCATCATGCAGTTTCTCAGCAGACTAGTAAGAAATAGTGATGTAAGGGTGAAATAGATACGGGGATATTACGACGGCGTCGGGATATAGATATGCGGTGAAATAAGCTCAATGGTGCTGACCACTCTAGCGGGAGCGATCACATGTGTATGGTGTCGTGAGAACTGAGATAACCATCACTCGAAGATTTCGTTAGAGTTGCAGTTCACAATCATGCCCTTTTAAGACTGGCAAAATTACGGTTCTGAGCGTCACGCCCTTCAGCCTTGTGGCAGATTCTTTCATGCGAACATATTCAAGACCACCCAGACATGCATGAATTGCAAAAGAAATGCCACACGGGTACCCAGCCGCCTTATCCGCCGCCTACGCACAACTCTGGCAACGTGGATTCGTAAGACCGGTTGTCAGAGAGAGAGAGAGAGAGAGAGAGAGGGAGAGAGAGAGAGAGAGAGAGAGAGAGAGAGAGAGAGAGAGAGATAGAGAGAGAGCGAGAGAGAGAGAGAGAGAGAGAGAGATAGAGAGAGAGAGAGAGAAGAGAGAGAGAGAGAGAGAGAGAGAGAGAGAGAGAGAAGAGAGAGAGAGAGAAGAAGAGAGAGAGAGAGAGAGAGAGAGAGGGAGAGAAAGAGAGAGAGAGGGAGGGCGAATGGTGAATTCCGCAGCTCAGCGAAACGTGGCGCAGAATACTGAAATTTCTTATATAGATGCAGTACCTCACTAACTCTACACCTATTTTCCAATGCCACTACACTTAAACCCAGTGCCGTCAGATATGTATTTCTTTGACGCCAGTTAGCCAAGTGACGGCATTCGTGTGGTGTGACGTCATGTCTACGCCTTGTGAAGTCAAGCATGCACTCCAGTGACGTCTCTCATACACCACAGTGATGTCATAACTGTAGCCTATTAACCCCTAACGCCTTAGACACCCCAGGGACGTCTGGAACATACCACGGGGACAGAACTGTACTCCCACTGACGTCACAACCGCATTATGATGACGTCAGTCGGGCTCTCTTCTATAACAGCCCACCAGCTCCGCCGCAGTGGCAGCATCGTCTCGCAGTGCTGACCGCTC